GGGGGGGGGATTGCCACACTTCCTCTGACACACTGCACGATAAATTATCCCTACGCCTCACCCTCTCTTCCCATATCCCTACTCCCCTCTGGCCATGTAAGCTTCCCACATGGTCCTCCCTCGAAAGGTGCACGTTGACGCTGTTAAGAATGGCCAGGGAAGTCGTATGTATAATGTGATAGGCTTGCAGGAGTGCCGTCAGGCTGAACGCTCCAGAGAAGTTGATCCACTGCATGCTTCTGCACTGCAGTCTCAGGCTGCCCGGCTTCTTTGAGATCACTTGTACAAAATATATGAGGACCACGTACTCTTTCCCCTCTGGCGTGCGTCTTATGAATCTGGAGGATGACATGCCAGGCAGTGACAGGACCTCGTATTTCGGCCCCACCCACTCTGCCACATGCTTCAGAATGGCTTGCGCTTGTGGCAGCTTATTGACACTGAAGTTCTGCACCTTTGTCGACCCGTCCATCAGCATCTTGATTTCACCCCTTTTCCTCCATAGGGTGATGGGGCGGACATAGCAGTCTTACTCTTGCAGAATAGTCTCCAGGCCACTCTCTGTCCGCCCCTGCCGTGCTAGCTCCCTCAACGAATCCTGCTGCGGTTCAAGCAGCGGTTGGTCCTCCCCCACCTCTCCCTGCTCTTCTCCTGTTGTGTCATCACTAGCTTGCGGTACTTGGCTCTCCGAGCGCGCTCCCTGCCCCTCTGCTTGGCGTCCCCCTGCCTGCTCCCGTTCCTCCTCTTCCCCTTCTTGCACTCCCTCGAGGGACCGATAGCAAAGAAGTACCGCGAGGGAAGGTTGAAAAGAACTTTGAAAAGAGAGTTAAAAAGTGCTTGAAATTGCCGAGCGAGAAGCGGATGGAGGGAAGTCGTGCATTCCCGTCTGGGCAGGGGTGGATGGCGACTGTGCTGTTGCCCCCTTTGTTGGACATGGGGTGCCTACCAGCATGGGCTGCTGTGACCGACTTCGTCTTCTGCAACCAGCTGCTCATGTCATTCGGCAGTCTACTGGTCACCATATGTGATCCAGCATACTTACTTCGTAAGTACATCATTTTGTTTGTGGGTCTCGTCATGCAGACCCCATTTAGTACTGCGTATTCCACCAACCCCTTCCCGTCAATGGGGCGGTGCATCAGTTACGCCCTTTTAAGATTTGCATGAGGCGCCAGCGCTCACGTGCCACTCCCTCCATTTGCGTAACCCTCCCCTTCCCCCCACCCCCTGTAGTGTATCACTCTCTCCAACCCTCCACTGGCAGACTCTTCGCCTTCGCTTACCGTAGGTAACCCTTGCCGAGCGCTCGTGTGCAGATTTCCTCGCCTTGCCACAAGTTCAGCCAAGCCTCAGTGCCGCTTAACGAAGCACTGTCCGTCCGGGCTCCTGGCACATTGGGAGGAGCTCTTAAACCTTTTTTTGTTTTTTTCACCCTTAGCAGCCCTTGCGGATGATTGCATGATATTCTAAGCGGAATAAGGTGGTAGTGGTGGTGCGGTGTGATACGGGAAGGGGAGGGCTTTTGGGAAGGCCGGTTGAGAAACCAAAAATGAAAACCAAAAAAAAAAAAAAGAAACTTCAAGAAAGGACAATATGGCAAAAGATTATATATGCTTGTTCCGTTTGTTCCAACATTTTGGGCCATGCCTGTTTTTCCCAACCGATGGCTTTGCTCCTGCAGGTTTCATGAAGGAGGTTGCAGTGCACGGAACGTCTCTAGGACAGGTGCTGATGGCTGGTGCCAAGTATTTGGTGGCGGCAGTGGAAGCGCTCTGTTCTGTCGCATTCAAGAATTTGACTTTGAGGGAGGAGCTCCCTGAGAGTGTTCATCATCTTCTGAGGGCCATCTGCAAGTACGACAAAAAACTTGATTCAAAGTCCGCAGCCGTGGTTCTGTCGAATAAGACACAGCGCCGCCAAGAGGGCGACAGCAATACAGAGCAGGTGGTGCCAGACTGCAGTCAGTGTTGTGCATTGCACGATGGCAGTCCTTCTCCAAAGGGAAGAAAGCGGAGGAACGACAAGCCGTCGGCAGCGGCGACTTGGAGAACGCTCGAGTGCGGCGGGGAGCAGACTGTCGATCGGCGCTCGGACGTGTTGCCGTCCTGGTGCGTCTACAATCGGAAGGAGGAGGACGACGACAAAGAGGACGATGAGGATTACTCGGCGAGCGGCAGCAACTTGGAATCGTCGCCGTTCCAATGCGGGTATGCATCGGCATTTTCCGGCGCAGAAAGCGAGGGCGCCGGCACGGACACGACCTGGAAACAGTACGACCTGTTGAAGAAAAAGGTGAAGATAGTGGAGAAGTTACTTCGAGAGACGGTGAAGCTGTTGGTCGACGAGGCGGACGACGAGTGGTGTGTGGCGACAAGCGGCGTCTGGAAGAAGGACGTGAAATGGCATGTCGGTTTGTGGCAGTGGCTGCGAATGTCGTGGGAAATAGCGAAAGTGATCGATCCAGCGGTGCACGAAGGCCATCTCCGTTCCCTGCTGCCAAAATGGAATCCGAAAGATTGTGGCAATTTGTCCGAGGCAGAAGTAGTGGAGATGTATGCGGAAAGCTGCCTGCGAAAAGTTCCAGCGTTCAAGAGGCTTTTTGGATCTCCGGGAGAGTCTAACCATCGCCAAGAAAATGGAGTGGATCCTCGAGTTGAGTGGCTAGTGAATGATATCTGGCGACTCACATTCGGGACGACCATCTGGTTTGAGTTCATGGGAGAGGAGAACTGGTCTTGGTTGTGAGAGCGACAACGGCCTTCTTGCAGAGTTGGTCAAACTCCGAGGGAACACTCATGTCTCAGCCCCTCTGTTGTTTTCCTCTTCTGAGTCTTCCCCCCCTCTCTGCCTGCAGTTTTCCTAGCAGTTCTGTTTTACGATATTTGTTTTAACGATATATATGCGTTTTTTTTAATACATATGGGTGTTCGGCCGAGCGTCAGATTGAAGAGCATTTAGAAAGTTAAAAGGGGGGAAAAAAAGAAGTTAAAAAAACAGAGTAGGCTCATTTAGAATAAGATTAACTTTAAGAAGAAGATCAAGATTGAGATTAGATTAGATTAGATTAGATTAGATTAGATTAGATATAGATTAGATTAGATTAGATTAGATTAGATTAGATATAGATTAGATTTAGATAATAAATTAGATTAGATTGGACTAGATTTGATTAGATTAGGTTAGGTTAGACATGATTGAGGCTATATTTTCTATTTTTTTTATAAGATTAAAGTTTAGATTAAGATTAGATCGGGGGGTACTGGCGGTTTAAACTTTAAACTAAATTCCAACTCTCATCTCAATCTAAATTTATGCTCATCCAATCTAATATAATCTTCAGTACTCTGCGCCAGATTTAAATCTTGGAATGTGGCGTGCTGCGCTAGCTATTCCAGTCTCTAAGAATTTTGGGGGGGAAATTTTTTTTTTTTTAAACTCTTCCAAAAGGCAAGCTTTTTTTTAATCTTCTAATTCCAAATCCAATCTGATCTAATTTCCTTAACCTGATAATAATATAATCTTAACCAGAAAAGCCTCCGATATTTTTGTAGGTGACGAGTTTCTTTTTCAGCAAGGCTCGGCCCGTGTACTGGCAGTTTAAGCATTAGAACAGGGCCCACTGGTAAGCTTAGAATATATATGAGATTGGGTTCGATTTAGTTTTTTTTTTCAGAATTAGAGAAGAACCGGTCATCTCTGAAGACTCGTGGGTACATGCTTTTTTCTTTTTTAAAAAAAATCATTTAAAAAATGCATGCTTTTCTTTTCATCATCTGGGTTTATATTAGTATTCATGAAGGTCTGAAATAAATAAATAAATAAATAATTCCAGAAGTTCTTCCAAAATGAGTCACCGTGACACCACGCAATTAAATTGAGATGTGCTGCTGTACAAAGTCATGTCAAAATGTAGACCTTCAGTTAAATTATTAACCTGCCAGTAGTAGTAATAGTAGTAATAAGAAGAAAACGTAAAGGTACATAATACTAATAATAGTAATAATAATAATAATATAATATATAATAATAATAATAATATAACAAGAATAACAAGAACAACAAGAATAACAAGAATAACAAGAATAACAAAAATAATATATATTAATAGCAATAATAATGATAGCAATAGCTTAGATTTTCAAATCTCTACTATCTAACTATGATTAATTAAACTATTAATAGTAATTATAATTACTGTAATAATAATAATTACTTTAATAGTGATGATAATTACTGTAATAATAATAAATTATAACTATTAATAAGTACTAGTAGTTGTATAAGTTATCTGTGCTGCTACATATAATTCTGATGAATGAGTTAGCATGCTGAGTAAAAGTCCTATGAATGCTATTTTTACAAGCATACTTTAGTAATAATGATATAATTATAATAATAATAGCTTTCATGAAATAAACGATGCTGCTTGCAAAACTAATAACAATAAGAAGAAGAAGAAGAAGAAGAAGAAGAAGAAGAAGAAGAAAATAATAATTATAGAGAATAAGAGTAGACTTTCCGAAAGGGCGTATTCATTTTTTTGAAATTTTCAATTCTTTTTGTTAGACTCTTAAAGTAATATTAAGTATTCTAATAACTAGCAATAAATAAAAAACATGAAATTTTAAGTCTGTGTTGATGTATATTAGTTGTTTTTTTGTGTGTGTTCCCGGAGGATTAGATTGAGTTATATCAATATTATTATTACTATTTTATATCTAATTACTTCAACATTTTTGTGTTGCTGGAAATTAGATGTAGAAATGGATTGCATTTAGAATCATTAGCTGGGCATCTTTTTTTTTCCCCTTTTTTTTGGGGGGGGGTTGGCTTGCCATCATTAGATGCAGGCTGATGACAGAGTGATGCTCTCAGAAAACCGTGTCCTAGACAAGTAGACCCTTTTTTTTTTTTTTTTGAGAGAGAGAGACGAGTAGAGCCTTAGATAAGCATCTAAGGCAATAGTTTCTACCTGCCTTGTCTAGTCCTGCACCTGGCATGTTGATTGCCGTCTGCACTTAGCTCAGTTTGTGTGACATGTACACTTGCGATGTTGAATAGTGGAGAACGTATGTATGAGTTAAGTCATGACGCCGATGACGGGAGTTTTGTTGTCAACTGACTTGGGCAATGAATTGAGTTTGGAAGATTTGAAACGATAACCGGATGAAGGGTTTTCAGTGCTGTTTTTTTTTTTTGTTTTGTTTTTTTTTTGG